CTGGGGCTGGCCTTTGGTCGACCCGCCCGCCGTGGCAGTAGCTCCAAATCCAACCCGCGTTCATTCTCGAGCCTTTCTCGACCCGAGGAGCTCACAAGGTCGGAGGCTCACCAGCTCGAAGGCTCACCTCACCGTCTCACATGCTCTGGTCCCGTCTGGCTTACCTCGCTCAAGCTGGATAAGCACTCATCCTGACCGATGGGATCTCACTTCTTTCTGGCCCCTCAAACCTGTGCTCAACCAGACGGACCTTCGACTCTGAACCCTCGGCCGTCGACTATGGACTATGGACTATGGTCTATGGAACTATGGTCTATGGAACTATGGTCTATAAGCACTGCACACTGAGGGCGTGCGGGACTGGCTGACATATCAATCAAGTCCCACCTCGTGGACTGCTATGATGTTGTCCCGGCTTCTATTAACCTCCATTGGCTGCTCATGCACCCGTGGCCGTGCCGGCGACGGGCAACCTTGGGCTCCCTCATGGCCGTTTCAATTTCATCCTAACGCCCACATGCTGTCCCTGTCCCTACTAGCAGCAGCATTCGTTCGATTTAGGGCGCCTGTCAGGTGTGGGCCATGTGAGGGCCATTCACACCATGGTCGCCGTCACATCGACGATCTCACCTCTGAGTTTGCGGGGTTGCCCTCCAATTCGGGGGGCAGACCAAGCTCAAGACCCCGTCCAAGAGGTATCTGTGCCGGCCTCCCTTGCCATGCCCGCCCTCACCTTCTCTTCGATTTCCGCTTTTGGCATATCCTTGCGGCTGTTTCGTCCCGCCATCCTTCTATCGGATGAGCTGGCCCTGCACCATGAGCTGCCGCAGTGGCCAATGGGCCAATGATGCCCCTGCCATTGGCCCAAGTGGCTGTTGCTGGTCGTCACTTCATCTCACCCACGGCGACTAGTGCCACCAGTCCACTCGAGGGTGTTTCGAAGCCGCCAGCCCACAGCTGTGCGCTGCGCTGCGCTGCGGTGTGGTCGCGGGCTGCCCCAGCATGGTTTGCATCACCCAGTCTCGACTGCTCATGCATGGCCTGCAAATCCAGCCGAGGTTTCAATGCTATGCTTGTCAACATCTGAGCTTGTACGAGAACCGTGATAGATCAGACGGGCGCGTGCTATAAGACTTACATCCCCTCTTTCGCCCGGCCCTCATCCGCAGTGGTTCTCCGGAAAACCTGCCGGTCCGAGTTCGTGAACTTTTCTGACTACGCCTGCCAAACTGAATCTCCCACCGTGCAACCTAACTGTCACAAGCCTGCCCGATCGTAACCATGTTTCGGGAGATCCTTGCCCTCGGGCCAGCCTACCTGAGCCTCATTGTCTTCCTCGTCATTGTCTCCTATTATGTCCTGTGGACAGCCTACGTCGACTACCAGATCAGGAAGCTCGGGGCTGTGAGGTCACCCGTCCTGGCCACGAATCCGCTCATAGGGTTTCCCTTCTTCATCGATGCTGCCATCAAACAGGGCCAGAACAAACTACTCGAATTCTACGATGGGCTGTATAAGTCGTCGCCCCCGGGATGTCCCAATTGCGTCGAGATATCCATTTCAGCACAGCATAGATTCATCATGACCCGGGACCCCGACCATGTCAAGACTATCTTGACGTCCAAGTTCTCGGACTTCGGGAAGGGGGAGCGGTTTCACGACACGTGGAGTCCCTTCCTGGGCGACAGCATCTTCACAACTGATGGCCAGTTGTGGTCAGACAGCCGTGGCCTCATTCGCCCCATGTTCATCAAGGAGAAGGTCCGAGACATAGAAATCTTTGAGAGGTGGACCCAGACCTTGATGTCCAAGATACCCTCTTCCGGGGGTACCGTTGACGTTTGTGATTTGTTCTATCGAATGACCCTTGATGTTACGACAGACTTTCTGCTCGGGACAAGCGTGAACAGTCTGAACAAGTAAGTTGAGGCCCTGGCCAACGCGGGACGTGAGCTAACTGTCCCAGCCCCAAGCATGAGTTTGTCGAGGCGTTCACAGAGGTCCAGAGGGTTCAGATGATGCTCACGATTCTCGCGTAAGTCAGAAGAAAAAACCCTACTTGCAAAGCCCGGTCGGTTGACACGATCCAACTGTGGCAGCCCATTCCGGTGGTTGGTCCCCAAGCGGAGATACCACAAGGGCATCCGGGTGCTTGAGAGGTTCATGAAGCCCTATATTGAGCAGGCACTGGCGCTCCCGCCATCCGAACTCGACAAGCTCTCTAAGTCGGACAAGAGCGCCACCTTCCTGCACAGCATCGCCCGTTATTCGAGGAACCCCAAGGTCCTCCGCGACCAGATCATGGCCATCCTGCTGGCCGGTCGCGACACCACCGCCGCGACACTGTCATGGACCATCTACGAGCTTGCGCACTACCCGGCCATGTATACCAAGCTACGCAACGAGATCCTTTCCACGGTCGGAGAGACCAGGGCGCCCACATACGAGGACCTGAAAAATATGACTTACCTCACACACACTCTCAACGAGACCTTGCGACTCTACCCAGCCGTGCCGTATAACTTGCGCGCGGCTCTCGAGGATACAACCCTACCGGGGCAACCAGGCCAGCCCGATATTGCTGTGTTGAAGAAAGACATTGTGATTTATAGCACTCTGTCGATGCAACGCCGTGCAGACCTCTACCCGCCACAGAGTGAGAAGTTCGCCGACCCGGCCGTGTTTAGCCCGGACAGGTGGGACCATTGGACGCCAAAGGCATGGCAGTATGTCCCATTCAATGGAGGTAAGCGAACGAAGTGAGCCCAGACAATGCCGAGATACGTGGCTGACATACGGTAATGAAGGACCGCGGATTTGCGTAGGCCAAAACTTTGCTATGACCGAGATGGCTTTCGCTAGTAAGTTGGACTGCCCGCTTTTCCCTTCCAGACCGTCCTATGGGGTGTTTTGAGTTCCAGGCCTGATTGGCAATCTCCCAGTGGTGCGGATTCTACAGAAATACGACCGTGTCGAGTACCGGGGCGACTGGTATTCACAGTATCATAAGGCGGAGATAGTGGGCTGCCCGGGAGATGGGGTCCGGGTGGCATTCCACGAGGCTCAGAAGGGCGATATGGCTTGAGGCTTCTCCTCTATTGTGTGAGGATATGAATTCGGGATCAATAGTTCATTGCATTCTTGGCACGCGGTGACGGGTGGCAACACCATTGCGAGGCTGGAAGCAGCAGTACCAGCCGGTAGACTGATCCGGATCAATTGGTCTCAAAATCTGAAGACTGCCATGCCAGTCCTTGATGTGATGAGATTCGCGGTCATGCTCGGAAATTCCGCAGAATCGGCCCTTCTGAAAGACAGAGGGTATTTGAGAAGCATTATTGTCCTCTGCACCCAGTAGCCATTTTTGTCGTTGCAAGCTACGTCAAACGAGCTTTGCTCGGCGTCCGCTACGTGACCACAGCATCTACATAGTGCATCACCTAGACAGTGCTCACTACCCAACTTCCTGTAGTACCAACCTACCATTGAATTAGCATCGTGTGGAATAAACTCATTTTGGCAATCCTCATGTGGGGTGACGTCCTACAGAACAACCGCCTGTAGGATAGCCCCTGGGAGAACCGGGCAGAAGGCAATCGAGCCTTCAGGCACCCCACAATGACAATTATTTCCCTTTTCTTTTTCTGGGAAGTAAAATGTGGCTGTGTTGTTGTAAAAGTGCACATGTGGTGAGGCTCTCCAACTGGGGCATGTTTTTTCCAGTGGTGTTATTTGTTGGGTTACAATAATATAGGATGATGGCCCAAGCTCCTGGCGCGATAAAGCCAGTGGGACCCCTTATCGCCTTGAACCTCTCATCTCACGACTTCAAGCTGCTCTCGTCTTTTTTCCTTCCTGCTCTGTCTTGACAGTCACTTGAGCTCTTGAGAGCGTACCACCGACAGCAGCCAAGATGGCTCCACCCAAGAGCGACGAGCTCCCCAAGGCTGTAGAATTCGACCAGTTCATGAACAAGGCCAACCTAGCATTTTCCAACCGCGGCGCCAGCCTAGGCCGCCACTCAAAATCCCGTGCTTCGTCCGCTGCCAACTCAAAATCTGAGCACAACGGAGCGGAGAAGGCCAGGCCGTCCTTTTCTTCCCTCGCAAATAAGCCCTCGCCTCGACCCAGTCTGAAAAAATCCCAGCAGCAGCGCAAGACGTTCTCGCAGCCACGTGCCAGTGACAAGGACGACGACGACTATGACGAAGCGCCTGATAACTCAGGCATAGGACACGTGCCCGCGGACAAAGAGGCGGCGGGCGACGCCAGGGCCGTTGAGACGAGGGACCTCAAGGGCAAGTTGCTGGGAAAGAGGGCGATGGAGCAAAGAGAGGAGGCGCGGAAGAAGAGGGCCAGGGCTAAGGAGGACAGTAGTGACGAGGAAGAGGGACGGAGCACGGCGGTCGGTAAGGGAAGGAGGAAGAAGGGGAGAAGCGGGAGTTCTGATTGAGAGTGGTCCACTTGTGGTGTGGCCTGTGGCGCCTTGAAAGCCTGCAGCGTTGTCATCATGAGAATCACTCAACCTCAAGTCGTCCGGAAAGGCTTCATTCGAGTCGGACGGAAATGGTCAAGACCGTCAAGCGATGCGCTGGGCGACTGGTGAGAGGCTAGATCAGCCGAATGCATATGGGATTTGGACGGACGGGTCGGGCGAAGCCTCTCAAGCACGGTTGCAAGCATTACCGTTCTGCTTGCACTCGGACAAGGACCCTTTGTTCAAGGTCTATGGGAGCGATGGAAGTCCTGCTCGTGAAACCGAAAAGTCTCGAGGCAGCATGGGCACACGGCCAAATGCCAGGACACAAACCGCCTCTCAAGACAAGTGTCTCCCAAACCGGCTGGGCATCATGGTTCGTTTGGGGATGGAGAAAGGACACGAGGGCCTTTGTGCATGCTGCACGCATCACCACGCCGCACCGAACGGGAGCTTGGGTTGCACGATGGCTGCCGTCACCGACAAAGCAGAGATGAAAAGACGAGCAAAAATATACACGGCTTGAGGTTGGCCCGACTCGAACAGGCATCCTTCGGGACTGGAATCCGACGCGCTAGCCATTGCGCCACAACCCCGCTGAGACTGTGTTTGGATTCTTGGGACGGCAGTCTATTAGGAAGATATGGCACTGGGGTAGGTCTTGGGGCTTTGGCCAGGGCGTACAAGTGTTGAGCTTGTTGTGAAGGGGTGGAAGAATGGGTGGAAGGGGTCGCACTGTTTCACGTGGAGTCCAAGTCCACGATATCTTGAGACGGAACGTGCTGTGACATCCTACAAAGCAGTTCAATCCACTGGGGACAGCCGCCATGCGTGCTCATTCCTTATTGCACCGGGACATTTCAACCCTTTTGATTGACGCTTGCGGATAGCTTGGGCTTTTACCTGGACACGGGCTGCTATACGGCAGTGGAGTTGCCCTCTATGGGGAATAAGTTATGCCTCTCCCGTATCTTCTGGCTAGGCTGTACCATCAATGGCCTTGAAAATTACACCCCTTTCCCCCACAACGCTCTCGCTTCTCAACTGCAGTGACCTCAGCCTTCACTTGTCGACGAGTGAGAGACCGCGGCAGTTGGGTTGGGCTTCGACCGTCGCTACGGACTATGGATGGAGCTGGCGCTTGGGACTTCATTACATCCGCAGAGTGTACACACCTAGAGCATGCGGTGGGGGAGAAACACGGTGGTAGTGGGTGTTCTTGCTTTCCTCGATGAAAATGGCAAGAAGAAATCGAGAAAGACTTTTAAATGTTAGGGCACTGATGAGCTGAGTGCGATTTTCAACAACCTTAACATGCTGCCCTGTCTTCGAAATATCCAACCCTAGGCAGTGAGACCATACTCCGTTAGAAAAGGCACGATCTCAGTGATCTTTCAGTATTAAAGATGGAATCAATGACAAGTGCTTCCTCTGGTCTCAGAGCAAGTGCTGAAGCCTGCATTCTTACTAGGTATTTAGCTTCGAGACAAGGAACCAGCGGAATCCTGCCAAATATGCGGGGAAGCTCACTATTCAAAGTCGTTGTGATGTTGACTTCGTCGCATTCCCTCAATTAGGGATTGTGGATTTTCTTTTATATCTACCAGATATTATGGGAGGCCACGGGAAATGAAGCTCACCATGGTGAAACATATTTGTACCACGCTTCTCCTGATTCACACTTTGTCGGTGACTGGGCAGGCTTTTCTTGAACCGCAGACAAACACACTCAACTAGAGCTTCAAGCTGAGCGCTGAGCAAATCGCAAAGGCCAACCTATCGTCTGCTTTCGCGAATAATATCGAGGTCGCACTCAATTATGAGCGCTCCAACTGGGCCTTTGGCTCCGCCGCTGAGACCCCTTATACGCTGTGCCGGAAAACTTCCCGTCCCGCACACCACCTAGCATCTTACTCAAGGTCGAGCCTTTGACAAACACCACATTTCACACTCTTAGCGCCCAACCTGGCACTGTCTCGCATACTTTCCACGACAGAAACACACAACGGCACGGTGGTCCCAGCGTCGGCGTACATCTTATGGCCCTTCTCACCGAACCTCCAGCCTGGGTCAGAAAAGGCGCGGGCGGTCGTGTTCGCCCACGGTGCGTCAGGGAAGCTCGGTGAGATTTTATATATAGCCTCCAGCAGAGTTCAAGTTCACTACATAGAAAAGACCCATTTTGACCATCCACGTGAATTGGTGATATTCAATTGAAATGAGTCTGTTTTTATCTATTCACTGCAGAATGATGCAAAATCTTTTGATCACAAAAAGCCGAAAATATCTGTGAAGTTTAATGGCCTCAACATATGGCTGATCAAAATCATACCCAAGTGAAGGCAATTACAAGTAGGTCTCGGTGTTTCCTATCAGGCCTCCTGTGGCGGTTACCGTCACGGATATCATGCACTGTTGGCATTGATTTTGAACATTTCATTCCTTCACGTGGGTTGCAAGAGGACAGCAGCAGTATGAATTACAAAGGCCATCGCCATATTGTTTGTACATAATAAAGCCCTTGATATGCCTCCTGGCTCATCATTGGGTGCCGCGAGGAGCAGTAAATGTTTGGCATGGCCCAAGCTGGATTCTAATCGACTACTGCTCTAATCATTCTATTTCCAACAGCTGCCCAGCCTCACCCGCCCGCCAAACACATCAGGGTTATCAAATCAGGGCTGGTCAGAAAACGGTCTAGTGAGCAATCTGAGGCATGTCTAACTACTCACAAAGGCATGATAAATCTTGCTCTCACTCAGCGGCCCCAATTTACAATCATTTGTTTCCATTGAACAACCGGAGGCAGTCAGGTAAACTTTCCCACCCCATACTACAGCTTTGACCAGCTACTTTTCAAGCTTTATTTACGTTGCCGTTTGGCCGTTTTCATCCTACTTATAGAACACCAAAAAAAAAACGACAGGGCTGATTAATTATATTCTACGTATGTAAACCACTCGCCACGAGGTGAAATCCATCTAATAGTTCGTCCTACCGCTGGGTAGATGTTTCAAGGCAGCAGAGTTCGAACCCAGCAATGTGAATGCTCGTTTTATGCAAAAGGATATCACAAAACCAGCTCATGCCAAACCGAGCCACTTCAAGGCCTTCCGACTGTTGCCCTTCCTCATTTCGCTCTGTCGCAAGTACAGCGGCATCAGCCGCTTCTCTTCCTCATCGTAAAATTCACCGTCCTCCACAACGCTGACGGCGTACATGCTAGCCCCATCGTCAGGGCCGCCCTCATTGCCCAGCCTTTCCAGCCTTCGGCGGGTCAGCGACCTCGCTCGCGCACCGTGCCCGCCGCCCGGCCCGCGTGACCTCGAGCTGGCGGCAGATGGGGCCGGTGAGGGCGACCGCGGTTCTGGAGGCGGCGGAAAGGGGAAGTTGTGCGCAGCTGGCCCGGAGGTCATGACGACCCGGGGCGTGCTCCGCCCGGACCCACCGTCCCCATCGTTGGTATACGGGGGCGACACTGGCAAATTCGCGGTAGGGCCGAACACGGCGGTGTGCGTGTACGCTGGCGAGCCGTTGGGCCCCTGCAGGGTGAATTTGCTCATCAGCGCTGGAAGGCCCACGCCACCGCCGGCAGTGCTCTTTGTGGATTTGGCCGTGCCTGGTCGGCCGGGTGGAGGGTTGCTCGTCTCGGGTATGTAGAACGGGTCAATGTCGCTTAGGTCCTTCAGAATGGTCGCGGTGAAGGCTGAGATCTCGGACTCGGTGGCTGAGCTGGTGAGGAGGTAGTTGGCTTCGGAGAAGGAGTGTTTCTTTTGATTTGCTAGTTGGATTTCCGTCCTTTCGTCCGGGAAGGGTGAGCCCGGCAGTTTAAAGGAGTCTAAGCCACTGGCGTCTGTACTACTGAACGGGACGGCAGAGTGAGAACCGTGTCTGCTCGAGATTGTGGATGAGATACCAGATGGTGACGGAGAGGTCGCCTCTGAATCGATTATCCCGGCGACCTTGAAGACCTCCGAGCCTACCAACTTCTGGAGAGCCAGCACCGTCGCCAGATGCTCGGCTGGGTATTCGAGCAGGAGGAGGCGGGTGCCATGATTAGCTGCCAGGTACGTCTCAAGGTGAGGAATTACGAGGCCTGCCAGCAAGTAGGGATCGTTGAAAGGTTTAGCCTGTGTTTGGTGAGCCACCTGCTGGGTAGCGAGTGGCTGCATGGCGTTGGCTATGAGATATCTGGGACACATGTCAGCGAATATGGCTCACGAAATCATTTCCTGGTAGTTACATACCTCAGATCCAAGCGGCCGCTCCGGGACATCCCACTCGACTTTGCGCCGAGCCTTTCGACCTGACCGGTGAGCGCGAACATGAATTCCCTCTCCACACCGTTCTGGCGGCCCATCGCCAAAATCATGTCTGGCGTGTTGTCGTCACGGTCATCACCACTATCCCGGGCTTCCTTGTTCCCGAAGATCGGCCGCCATAGGCTGCCAATATCACGAAGCATTGGGAAATCGATCTGGTGCAAGCAGCCATTGTCAGGCGGAGGGAAGTACACCTCTAACACGGACCTGAGCACGTTCTGCGTCACGACTGCGTTCGGCTTTCCTTCTGTCGAGAAGTCGTGGAACCTGGACTCCCTGTCTCTTTGTATCCGTGGAGATATCGGGGCTGAGATTGGCGGCTGACGCGAGTCCGGTGGCACACTTGCTGGTGGAGGGGGGCTCCGTGGTTGAAGGGCAAGGCTAGATGCTCGTACGTCACGTCCTCGTGCGGAAAATGGGTCGTACTCCCCTGTTTCTTCGGCTCCTGGGTGTTCAATCACTGGTGATAGACCTGCATCTACATCTTCTTCCAGATCGAACAGATCTGCCGTCATGGGGGTTGACGGGCAAGAGTCTGTGGGCACAGTCTGCAGTGAAGCAGGAAATGGTGCGACGGGAAACGCCCCGGCCTTGAAATACTGAACCACCATGCCCAGTACCGCATCAGGTGTCTGGCCGGTCATGTGGATCACAAGATCCTCGACGACTGGTAGCACTGGCTGGAATGGCTCGTCCGGTTCGTGTCTCTCTTCCTGAAAGTCTGCAGCGTCGGTCCCTCGATGGACGTAAGAATCTCTCGCAGGCTTTGGCAGGCGTTTCACAAAGGTGGGCGACCTCCGGATTGTCGTCGTGTGGGCCTTGACAAACCGGGCCTGAGGCAAGTGAAGGAGGGTGTTGGCTGGATGTGGTTTGTCGTTGATTGACAAGTGCCGGCTTCTGGCTTCTGGATTATCGAAGGGCAGTGCTACCTGCTCCCCTACCGAGGCCACCTCCAAGTCAGCGCGGCGGTTTCGAGTCTGTTCCAATTCCAGATCATCTAGTGACCGAGACTCTCTCAGTGTCACCTGCATCTTGGACGCCCGCATCTGCACCACCCGTGCCTCGCCGTAAACAACGCCATCCGGCGTCGCAGGGGGCGACAACAGGGCATCTGATCTACGTATCGAAGATCTTGCCTCTGCGGCACGGTACGATTCGCCCGCACAGTTTGCTGCATGGTCGGGGACAGGCAGGTTGTCTCCAGAGGTATCAGGCTGGGTTTTGAGTGCACAAAGCTTCGCAAACTCGTCCTCTGCCATGCCCGGACGGTCCAC